TATATATATCAAATATGGTATCTGGAATTTGCTTCTAAATAATCCACAGGTGGAGGGAAGGGGCCTGGCTAGAATGGCCATGTGTTGACAAATGTTGCAGCTGGTTGGTAGGTACATAGGGCTCCATGTTTTTTACTATTTTTTCCAGAAGTGTGAAATTTTCCATAATAACAAGTACTTCTGAGAAATGTAAGCACAATAAAACTATTAAGAAAAGGGACACAGGGAAGGATGGACCTAGGAATCAGAATGATTGTGACCATGGGTAGGGGCAGGCAGTGGGTGGAACTGGGGATTGCTTATTACATCATGAAAACATACTGAGTAAATACATAAAAGTGGACCATGAATGGACCGTTGCTGACAGGATATCATGAACCAAGGATTGTGATTTATCAAATCTGATACACCAGGAGTACAATTTAAAATAATGTTAGTAACAACACATATTTTCTTATTTAAGAAACTTATTCTGGGGCACCTGGGTGGCTCAGTAGGTTAAACGACTGACTCTTGATCTCAGCTCAGGTCATGATCTCACAGTTCATGAGTTCAAGCCCCGCACTGGGCTCTGTGCTGATGGCACGGAGCCTGCTTGGGATTCTGTCTCTCCTTCTATCTGCCCCTCACCTGTTTGTGCAAAATAAATAAATCTCAAAATAAATAAACTTAAAAAAAAAACAAAAACTCATTCTGGGGGCACCTGGGTGGTTCAGTCGGTTAAGCATCCTACTCTTGATTTCAGCTCAGGTCATGATCTCAGCGTCATGAGATAGAGTCCCGCGTCAAGCTCCATGCTGTGCAAGGAGCCTGCTTAAGATTCTCTCTCCCTCTCTCCCTCTGCCCCTCCCCCACGCACATGCATGCGCTCTCTCTCTCTCAAAAAAAACCTTATTCTGATAGTAATACGGAAGATGCTTAGAGGTAGATAAGGCTGAAGTCAAGAGACCAATTAGAAAATTAGTATAGTAATTCAGGTAAAAAATAATAAGAACCTGAGTTCAGGCAAGCAGTAAAGAAGTGATAGATTTTAAGAGATTTAGAAGAATCATCAGGATTGGGTGCTGGGGTACTTAATACGATCTGGCAATTCTACAGTTTTTTTTTCTAATCAGCTTTCCATAACGGTTGTTTAAAACTGTCCTAGTCTGGGATGCCTGGGTGGCGCAGTTGGTTAAGTGGCTGACTTCAGCTCAGGTCATGATCTCGTGGTCCGGGAGTTCGAGCCCCGCGTCGGGCTCTGTGCTGACAGCTCGGAGCCTGGAGCCTGCTTCAGATTCTGTGTCCCCCTCTCTCTCTCTCTGCTCCTCCCCTGCTTGTGCTCTCTCTCTCTCTGTCTCTCAAAAATAAATAAATGTTAGAAAAAAAATTCAAAAATAAATAAATAAATAATAAATAAATAAAACTGTCCTAGTCTCCCTATACACCTCAGAACCACTTGCTCGTCCCCCTCTTCCTCATCACCCCTGCAGAGACAATAAAACCATTAGGAGCACCCTCCATGAGCTCCATCACCACACCTATACATCCCCCTCATAAACACCCACCACTTCCTTTTTCCCTGCTCTCCCTTCCTCCCTCCTATCAAATCCCACAGTCGGGGCCCCACCCCTCATCCTTCTCAAGGAGATTAGTCTATCAATTCCTTCCAGTCTCTTCAACCTTTCCACTAACGGTTGCCTCCCGTCACAACCGAACCCCACTGTCCCAACCCCGGCTTCATCTTCCTTTCCTGTTATTGCCAACCCGGCAGTAACTGTTCACATGCGCTGTGCCTGTTCTCACCATCCAGCCATCCCTCAAGTCATACTACTTTGACCTCCACCCCCCACCAACTCCACTGAAATGGTTCTCGATCCCTATCAGTGATTCTTTCTTGCCCTCTCTACTGCATTTGACAGAGGACTTCTCACCACTTCCTCCAACATTGTGCTCCCGTCTTAATGACACTACACAATCCAAATTTTCTTATTTCTCTGCCACTCTCTCCTATTCCCCTTTGCCAGTCCATCACCCTCTACTCGACCGTGACCGGCTCCATTTTCTAAGGCACTGTCCTAACCCTCAGGGCTCCATCTTTGAACGCTTTTCTCTTGTCAACCCATACCTTTCCCCCAAGCAATCCCAAATGTTCTATGTGCCTACTACTCCTGAACGTTTATCTCCAACTCACAGACCTCCCCTCCAAGCTCCAGCACCAGATATATAAAACTGCTGACCTCGTGACCCAGTGACTCACAAACACATCCGAAGCCGGCATATCCAAAAGGGTGAACTTCACCCTCAATCCCCTTCTCCAACATTCTTCATCCCCTAAGTAGCACGAGCAGCCACCTCACTGCAGTGTCAGACCTCATCTCTGGCATTCCCTCGACTCCCCCATCCATGGGATCAGTTTTCCATTTTCAAAGATCTTCCAAGTTTTTCTCCAATCTATTCGTTTCTGTCCCTCTCCCTTGTTACTGCCCAATCCAAGCACCACCTTTCCCCCCGACTGTTCTAACGCTGTCGTTCTCCTTATATTCACACCGGCACCACTTCCGTCTATTCTCCAGCGAGGAGCCAACGTAATCTCGAAACACACAAATGAACAAACCTCGAATCGCTCCACGTCACTTCCAAATTTCAAATCCGTCCACAGCGTCCTCTCGCCCTTCGCAGAAAGCCAAAAACCCCAAACACTGTCCCCACCATCTTTTTTAATTCCTCCCACGTATAAAGCTCCTTCCCTCCTCTCTGGATTTAAAGGGTCTTGGGACATGAGGTGTCCCATGTCTTCACCACTCTCCTTCCAGGTAGACACCTCCCTCAAGGGTGGCTTTCTTGCTTTCCACCCCAATCCCAAGGCTAAATTAGGTCTCTTCCTGTGTTTGCGGAGCACTCCGTACTTTTCTCATGAAGCAATTATTTATTAAACCATCCAGGTGATTCTTTGTTTATAATGTCTGGTGCTTCAGTGATTTGCGATCCCTAACAGTCCAGTGTTCGTGATCTTCTTGGGCATACAAGGCAGGGGATATGTGATACATAGTAATGACAGCCAACAGTCTCAACACTGAAAGCGTCCAGGCATTGCTCGAGCACTTACACCGACAACTCATTTAAACCCTCAACACAACCTGAGGTAGGTATTTAACAACAGCTATTTTATGGAAGAAGAAACTGGCAAAAACGTATTAGGTCATTTGCCTGGGTCACACAGTAAGTCATGGACTTGCATTCTGACCCAAATATCAGATTCACGTCTTCAACCACTACTCTGTCCCCCCACATACTGACACTCAAATATCTGATGAATAAATAGACGGATAAATGAAAGAACTGGATACGAAGTCACAACCTCAGCCTCGGACCCCCCTGCTGTTACCATAGTCTAAAACAAAGGTCTTACCCTAATGACTAAATGACTCCCAAGAATCTCTTCCTAGGTTCCTTTTTTTTTTTAATTTTTTTTTTTAATGTTTACTTATTTTTGAGACAGAGAGAGACAGACCATGAACGGGGGAGGGTCAGAGAGAGAGGGAGACACAGAATCCGAAGCAGGCTCCAGGCTCCACGCTGTCAGCACAGAGCCCGACGTGGGGCTCGAACTCACGGACCGTAAGATCCTGACCTGAGCCGAAGTCGGACGCCTAACCGACTGAGCCACCCAGGCGCCCCTCTTCCTAGGTTCCTTAATTTCTCTTTCTTCTCCAGGTACATGTTCCTAGAAAATTCTTTCCAAAATACTGTCCTTATCCTATTAATCTGCTGTTCAACAGCCAGCCTTGACCCCTGCTACCTATGAAGGTACTTTTCAGACTTCTCCCTGCCATTGACCTTTTCTGCCATCAGGTCTGTTGTCTCCACTTTATCCACTCATCCCCAACTCAGGCACATACAGGAGTTATGCCTTTACACATCCTGTTCTCTCTCAGTTTTCTTCTTGCTCTGAATCAAATCCTATCCATCCTTTAAGAATCTACTCAGGTATCCCCAGAGTCCCCGAGAAGGAATGCGGCCAACTCTTCTCTAAACTCATGTGTCCCTCCAAGTTAGTACCATCTACTTCGCACTTCTTTGTTCTCTAAGATCTTTGAAGACTTGACTTGTATTGCTTTCCAATCTTCCAAAGTCTCTAGTATATTTCTGAGCACATCAGTAGAAAGAGCTCAAGCTCACTATTTACTTGCTGACAAACTAAGAGAAAGACAAAAGTGATTGTGAGATCCCAGTGGGCATTCCATCCATAAGAAGCAAAAGCTTCATGCTCGAAATAAATATACGTATTTTGGGGATAAGGCACGGGGAGCAAGGGTGAGGAAGACTTTACTGGGCACACAGCGAGTGGAAACACGCTGCCGAAAGTGGGCAGCTACCGTAACTCATGAAGAGAAGGAATCAAACGTTCTTTCAGCAACTCAGCCAGGCTGGCTTCCCATCTAGCTAACTGCAGGCTTCCCTTATCCGGAAGAGAATACTGCAAAGAAAGAGAATTAAGACTTCCTGAATAAAACTGAGCCACAGAGGGCTAAAAGAATGTAAGGAAATCTACCCTGGGATGAGAACAGGCTTCCCAGATCCACAGGGCTGTTTTCAGTCAAATCTACTTCCCTTCCTAACTCGAGTAACTCATCGGCTATAAGGGATTCAAGTTCTATAGAAACTAAGAAAAGGGGAGGAAAAAAGAATCCTGAGAAGCAGTAATGGGGTAGCAGGGCAGGCCCTGGTCTGCGGTCGTTCCCTTCATCCTCCCCAGTGCCCGTCCCCAGGTCAAGTGGTTGCCACTGACCTGATCTGCATCTGCATGGACTCCCGGAGACTGAGCCGACGGCACCTCCTGCTGGACTGCAGCCACCGCCCCGTTAGGCATCAGGATGAGCTGGGAGGCTAGAGGCACATTCCGGCCCAGGGTCCGGTTTACCTGCAATAGGTTTCCCAGCTGTGGCTGGCAAGGAGAGGAGGAAGAGGAAGAGCAAAGGAAAGAGAACAAGAGGGAAAGAAGAAAGACAGAAGAAACGGAAGGGAAGGACCACAAGACAAAATAAACAGAAGATACGAAACTGCTAAGCCCTGCCCCTTTCCACACCAACCCAGGAGACCCTTATTCTCCATATGCGATGAGTCATCCAGAAGGAAACCTAGAATGTACATAAAACTACAGATTGATATCAAAGAGTCAAACATCAAAGACGTTGAGACAATGAGGATTTCAGAACAAGTATTTATGTATATAGTAGGTAGACAGGCTAAGAGATAACACTTAGTTTGTGTACTTGAGCCACAGGTTTAACGACCGGACCATACGTGACGCTCCTGGAGTCAAACGTTAAGGCGAACATCTAACTTAGGATCTCGATGTAATCTGCAGGCTACCCGTGGATACTGAGCATCAATTCTACACATAAGTAAGGCCTAGGAGGCAGATCAGTGTGTCTTAACATATCGGGGTAACCGTGGTTAAGTAAAATAGCTTTCACTCAAGTCTTTGTGTGCCAGGGCCACTCACAGTTACGCCCCGGAACGATGGCGGTCGTGTTGGTGGCTTACCCGTAGATACATCTGGGCCTGAGACTGGTTGAGAGGTGGGGAGGTGGTGTTCCCCAGTAGCACAGATTGGGTCAAAGTGGTAGAGCTGGGAGAGCTCACACTCTGCGATCGGCTGATGAGCTGGGCGGCCGACGTGGTGGCCAGATTGATCTGCGTGGTACAGAGAGGAACCAGGCTAAGGCTTTGGGCGGGGGTCAAAGGAAACATACACCATGGACAAATTCAGGGTGACACAGTCAAGAGCAGAATATCTCATTTTCAGAACCGGGGCGGGGGGAGGGGGGGATGAATAACACCTTCCCATCCATAACCGTCATCCCAGCTACTGCAGGGGTATTACCGAAGTAAAGAAACCAGTCCCTACCCACTGGCATTAACAGCTGGGAGGGGAAAGGAACAAGAAAGGAGCAGACTTCACGTCTCAGGAAAGGGTCCAGAGATCGGTCCCTTCCCTTTGTTATCTCCTCTTCTCCCCCTGGGGATTTTCTTCCTCCTCTCTCAGACCTCCTCCTTAAGGGTCCTATACAGATTCAAGTCAGTTATTTCCCTTTTACTGACATTCTCTACGTCAGAGCGATGAATACTATTGATGGCTCAATAAGCACTCTCCGACTGGCTGCCCAAAGCTGTTTACCCCAGAGACAAAGACCCAGGACAGGGTGCCACTTGGTGGGAGGAGGCAGTACTCACTGAGGCCTGGGTGGTGGCAGTCTGCTGCTGTGTGGTGCTGTTTGGGGAGCTGGCCTGCCGACTGGCAGCGATCGTGGCCTGTTAGAGGGGAAAGGAAACAAGAAAGAGCAGAGACAACGAAGGAGAAGACTCGGAATCTTCTAAGCGCCAGCACAAAACGGCATCGAGACTTCGGGTAAGAACCCAGAGACTACCACGGAGCAAGGAAGAGTATATTTGCTATCCCAATAACGCTGGCATTACCACATCCGCTAGCCTAGTAACTCCCCCGTAACTCCCCCCGGGGGCGGGGGGGGGGGATCCAGTAATCTGTCCTCCTCCTCCTCCTCCTCCCACTTTCTCTTAGGCGGAAGAACCTGTGATCAGATCGTATCAAGAGTCACTGGCAGGTCTGGTCCGCGGCCGCCCCACACAAATATAAGGCGAGCCACATATATAACTTTCTAGGACACACGCTTTTCGAAAAGCGAAAAGAAACAAAATAAGCTTTGATTTTACTTAAGCCGATATCTCTCATTTCAACGTATAACCAAGAGAAACAAACCACTCAGACAGTTTACTTTTTTTTTTTTTCCACGCGAAGACCTTGCGATCCATAATGTTACCATTTGGACTAGTCCTGTTGTCAAGGGCTCACTAGCTACACACGGCTGGTGGCCGCCATATGGGACAGCGCAGTTCGAGAACACAGCCATTCTATCTCCCAGCTCCTACTGCAACCCCAGAGACTGAGATCCCTTCGTCCTCCTCCAGGAGGGCAGGAGGCAGAAAAGACACTGTTGCCAGCCGGACTTAGTGGAGGAGGCGGTACGCCCCTACCCACCTGGAGCGCCTACCCCCTCCCTCTTGGGCCAGCCGGCTGCTGACCTCTCACCTGCTGGACGGCGGCCAGGCTATGCAGCTGGGCATTGCTGAGCTGCTGCTGGAGCATGAACTGGTGGAAATACTGAGCCGCGTTGGGCTGACGCTGCAGTGCCTGCAGAGCCTAAGAGGAAAAAGAGAGGATCAAGCCAACCCACTCAGGAAAGAATCACTTGGAACTCCTATTCTATGCAAATGACTGTGATCCTCGGAAAGGGAGGTTTAAGGAGGAGAGAAACAAAAGAAGAGGGGGAGTGTGGCGAAATCAACAACCATCGGATTTGTCCCTTTCTACAGGAGAACTAGGAAGTTCACAGACTTCAAAAAATAAAGAAACAATTCTGTCATGCCCCATTCTTGTATATAAAGAAAAGTAAAGCAATGTAACTCACATGAACTCTTAATTCCCAGAACGGAATGTGGAGAAGCATGCGATGTAGTAAGGAAAAGAGCGAGGGCTGGACAAGTTGAAAACAATTAATGAAAAGAAAAGAAGAGGCATCAGGCTTGCTCAGTACGTATACAGCATGCAACTCTTGGTCTCAGGGTTGCGAGTTCAAGCCCCAGATTGGGCGTGGAGCTTATTGAAAAAAAATAAATAAACAAAGGGGCACCTGGGTGGCTCAGTGGGCTGAACATCTGACTCTTGGTTTTGGCTCAGGTCACGATCTCAAGGTTCGTGAGACGCAGCCCCGCGTCGGGCTCTGCACGGGCAGCGCAGAGCCTGCTTGGGATTCCCTCCCTCCCTCCCTCTCTCTCTCTCTGCCCCTCCCCAGTTCTCTCCCACCCTCTCTCTCTCAAAATAAATAAATAAATAAACTTAAATAAATAAATAAATAAGTAAAACAAAAATAAGAAGAAAAACTAAAGAGAACAAAAAAATAAAAGACCATACGCTAGGGATACAATAAAGGTGAGAGAGCCCCAAGCAGTTGAAAATGATGAAAAAGAGCAAACAGGGGCTTGTGAAAGATTCTATTAGTACAATTTTCCAACAGCTGGCATTATAAGGATGATACTGGTAATGCAGTTTTAGTATTGACTTTAGGATATTACCGTCTTCTTATTCTTTAATAATTAGAACTATTCTTACGATGTGCATAGTTATTCTAGCAACCAAGCTATTTTAAGTAAAATGCCCCGTTCCCAAGCAGATTTTTTTTTAAATGTGGAATTTTACTATTTATCAAAAAATAAAACTGAGTCTCAAACTTCCATTACTCAGGGTGATTGACAAGAAAGACCAGATATTAAAAACCTGACAATCCACGAAGAGAAGTGGGTAGTCAGAATCTAGCTACATGAACTGAATGATATACAAATCCATGGTTTAAAGACTGAATTTCATTCTCTGGTTGCTTGGTCACACTGTTATAAACCCCTAAGATTCTCAGGGCTGGAAGGGGCGTTAGTCGTCACCTAATCCAACTGCCCCGGTTTGCTGAAAAGGAGCTAAGAGCAATTCTCCCCCAGCACCCGTGCCTACCCCAAGCCCAGACTCACAGATCACAGCCCCTCCGAGTTGAGCCTCACCTGCACTGCTTGCCGTTCATACAGCGACATCTGAGCTATCTGGGGCCGAGAGCTGCCCCCAGAGCTGGAGCTCCCATTGGTGGAGTTAGAGTTCTGCTCACTCTCCGTCTCCATGATACTGGTCCAGGGTCCCCAAAGCCGGCGCTCTAACTCAAGACCTAGAGGAAAGTAGCGAAGGATTAAAATTTACACCGGATCTCACACTATTATTTCTTGTTGTTATTCAAGCTATCTAAGACTCTTCCTCTTCTTTCCAGTAGCCATGATTCCTTGGGTTTTTGAGAATTACCAAATCTACAACACACACAACCATATGTTCCCCATACCATCGTTTGAAGCTACGTTTGAAGCTACGCAGTGTCTCGAAAGAAACCTTTACATAGTCCCTTGGGACTGTCACTGACTAGCAAATGGCTAGAATTCAAGACTCCTAAGGCTAAGGCTACCTTACATTCCCGCAAGCCACTTAACAGTTATCTCCTTTTTGTCTGGATCCTCAACGTCATTATCAGCATCATCTTAACAATGGTCACCAGGCACTGAGAAGCCGCCAGGTGCCTCCTCTCACTGACTAGCTCTTCATCTCCATTATTTTTCACAGAGCTTTAAGGTAAACAGGATTATCCCCATATTATCACTGCAGAAAGGAGGTTTTCTGAGGTTAAAGTTGTGCTAGGAAGTGTCAGGTCTTTTACATGAACACATGCTACCTCCTCAAACAATTAAGGCAGTGTCATTGGGTTTGAGTATTCATTGTCCTCATTTTATGCAGGAGGGGCTTGAGATACAGATATGTTAAATGCATCATGAAAGGTCAGAAAACTTGGAAGGCAGACGGGCCCCTGGCTGGCTCACTCAGAAGACCATGCAGACTCTTGAGTCATGAGTCAAGCCATGAGTTCGGAACTTAAGGATGGGTGCAGAGATTACTTAAATAAATAAAACTCGAAACAAACCAACCAACCAGCAGGTAGAACTGGGCTACAGCCCAAATGGATTCCTGGTTCCGGCTCAGGCTACTATTAATCACACACTGGGCATGTCACTTTCCCTGCTTATACCTCAGTTTCCCCATTTGTAGAAAAATCTTCACAGTTGAATGTACTGTATCATTTTCACAAATGGACTCCCACGTATTAAACAGATGAAATACACAGCAATGAAAATCTTCAAGAAAGTAAGATTCAACTTTTTGGTGCACTTAAGCAGTCAGAATTTACGCCGCGGCGGGCGGGGGAGGCCTACGATAAAATTTGCAAACAGACATGAAAACAGTGCTAAGAACCAAGCCACGAGACAGGAGATGAGAAATAAGCAATAGGCCTCCAAACAGCACTAAATGACCATATGGCTTTTTTTTGGTTCATTCTTATTTTTTTTTTTCTCTCTCTCTCTTTTGTTAAGCCTGGACACTATATTCTCTACCTCTGAGGCACGGGGCCACTAGAAATGTTAGGTCAGCAAAGCACTATTTGGTTTAGGAATGTAAACATCAAACCAGAATTTCTACTAAGGCCTGTCAACAGTTTTATTAAAATGGACTGATCATAATGATTACATCCAAAACACAACAAGGTAGACAAAATCTAACCGTTTGGCCCCGGACACAGAGTTAGGGAGATTTCTCAGTATTCCATTCGGGGCATCATCTGATCGCATCATCATCCCCCAAGTACTCTACCCATCTCTGTAGGTGTGGCAAATGTCACTGCAAACATGGATATAACCCAAGAAGCACCCAGGGGAAACCCTATCAGCCTCAACTCCGGTTACCTTCTCCCACATCTTTCGCCAAAATATCAAAGCACTCAACAGATACAGACCCATGAATCCTCATTATCAGCATGTGAAGAAAAAAAAAGTGGGTAAGGATTAGAGGCAGCATGGCAGAGTTGTATATAGAGATCAATGGACTTAGTTCTCTTCACTGGACTCAGAGACAGGAGTCCCCTTTACTAGCTGGAGGATACATTAATTCCTACATTCATTGGGAGAAGTGCTAATAAACCGCAGGATCCTAAAATGGAAGTCGGAGTAATATTTTTTTTCAGAGTGTGAGAGGAACATAGAGATGGAAAGGGACCAGCTTAGGGAATAAAACCGGGAGAAACTGACATCAAGAGTGGGATTCCTGGATCTCAGCCACGTAAATCTGTTCATCTGTGATCAATGTTGGGACTGCAAAATTAAGTAGAGAAAATGAAAACAACAAAAAGTTTGGGAGGCACAGTGAATTTACATTTTCGGAATCATGCCAGAAGAGAAAGAGCAAGAAGCTGATCCACGGAGGTCCCCACAATAGCTCAACTGTGGTCACCCTGAACCGTAGTAGTTGGGTGTGTATGGACTGGATTGGGTTGGGTTGGTTTAGGACGGACCTCTGGCGGGGAGCTAGAAAAGGATAGTGAAGTGGACCGGATACTGGGCCCATTGAGCCAAGAGTTGGAGGGAATAAATTTCCCTAAACATAAAACTCCGTCTTGTAGAAAGTACCGGGCATAGGAAGGGCGGCAGGGGAAGGGGGTGGTTGGGAGAAGACTGTGCCAAAGAAATGGAAGTGATCTGAAGAACAGGGATAAGTAAGCGCCCACGGGTCCTCGCTGTATACAGAACCCTGATGAAAATGAGGTTCCAAAGAGGAATCAAAGACACCGAGGGAAGGGGGCAGATAGAGCGGTGCCAGGCGTGAACTGACCCAAGTGAGCTGGGAGACGTGCCTACTGATAGCAGGGAGCCAAGCAGGAGAGGGACAGACAAGTCAAGGAACTGGGAGACCGAGGCACCAAGCGGACCATCCAAAGCAGGGAGATTCCTAGACAGCAGGCTTGGATGGGAGAACCAAAGTCAGAGAAGGAAAAATGAATGAGAAAATGAGCAGTCAGAAGCAACTAGGGTGACGGACAGACGGCGTGAAGCGCAGCGCAATGAATAGCAAGAAGACTTGGACAGACAGAGCCGAAGGACCGCAGAGCTCAGCGCTAGAGGTAGGCAGGGAAAGAAACTGGGGGAGGTACCTGGGGCGTTACACAGACGGAGGTGGCTGAAGAAACATCCCCGCGCAGCCAAGCCCCCAGAGGTCCTGCCCCTCCCCAGCCCGCGGCCGCCCGGTTACCTTCGCGCCCGGCTCCGCACCGAAGTGCTCCCGGGGGGCGTCCACCTCATGTGCCGGG